GCTCTCTGACGCACTCCTCGCCAGACGTCCTCTCATACCCCTGCGTATGCAAGGAAAAGTGATGAGAGACATTGCATGCCGCCCGTGTCTCGTCAGGTTTGTGCGTGCCTGCGGACACGAGAGCGTCCCCTGGCGAAATATAAGCTGAATACACTGGCCGCGCTGGTAATCGTAGCAATTAGCGGACGGGTCTGTTTCCGACTTCTTAAAGTCTACTGCTCTACTCTCTCGAGTGAGTGCGAGCATGATGATTGTAAGCATGCTCACTCGCTTTTCAAGTGCATCCAGACAATGGCGACCCGACTACGTTGCTGTGTTCGTGATCAATTTATGTCAAATACACATCGTGTCTTCCATTTGCTCGGCTCCACGAACACATAAACCGTCTCGCGCCAGTCGCTCATCATATCACGCCACACAGACAATTGGCGACGATAAATAAAGATCACCAGGCAGACCAGACGACAAACGACACGGCAGGACAGTGCACACACGAACCACAGAGATGGATAAAAATACCATCAGACGATCACCGATGAGATCAGATGAGCCCATGTACGCTCAGCGCCAGGTCAGCCTCCGTCACTCGTTTCCCATCCGCCAGCGTCACCACCCCACCCTCCACCCTCTCGCGCACCGAGGGGTCGCGCAGCGGCTGTCGGTGTCGGGCCACTCTCTCCTCCATAGCAGGGGGAAAGCTTACACGCGAGAGCTCCTCCTCGATCTGCCGCATCTGGGCGGCGGTCATGTCGGCAAACTCGGCGAGCGAGTTGCCCGTGCCGATGAGGCTCCTGAGGTCTCTCGCATAGTCGACCAGTTGTTTGCGGAAGGCGTCGATGTGGCTGAGTACGGTCTCGATGTACTCAGTCTTGACGCTGACCACCGACACATCCCTCTGCACACACAGAGAGAGAGGGAGAGATGAGTTCACTCAGCCACAGGTGACTGTGTGCTGTGTCTTCGTGTTGTTCCTCTGATCTCACCTGTGTGGCGCGTTGGCCGCACAGCCGTGTGAAGAGGGCATGCAGGCCCGCCCTCTGGGTGATCTCCTGCACGATGGCCTTGCGCCACTCCTCGCGACTCAGGAACGCCTTGACGCCCATGAGCCGCTTGCACATTGCGGCGGCTGTGCCAGCAAGCAGCTCAGTCATCCTTTCCTCCCCCACCGGCCCAAACAGCTGGCCTGCAGCGTCCCTCAGCGACGTGGTGAGCACCTGCACACACCACATGCAGCAATCAATCCCATCCGTCTGTGTTTCTCTCCTTCCCCATGTGTCGCTCACATGTGCGTCGTGCGGCAGGAAGTACCAGTGGAAGACCTCTCCATCCACAGACAGGGCGCATTTCTCCCCCCTCCAGAAGGCCGAGTCGACCGTGTCACAGATCAATGGCGCGGGGAAGAGCGGCGGCTGTCTGCTCAGCAGGTCATAAGTCGTCTTCTGCATCACGTCCACGCCCTTGACGTGCATCACCTCGCGCATCTCGGGGCTCAGCTGCTGCAGATGGAGCAGCCCACCGGTGGAGACGGGGGCCACGATGAACGACGAGTAGATGACGGTGCCATGCTCGCGATACACCATCCCTCCCGTGTCAGGCGGCGGCGTCCGGTCTTCGTGTCCGGGGAGGGACTCGTTGGTCAGCGAGACGACGCAGTAGACGCGGCTCGTCCCGTAGCTCTCGACGCACACCGTCAGCTTCACCACCGCCTCCCCGTTGCTGTCGATCTCGGCAAGAATCGCCTTCTGCTTCCGCCGCTGCAGCTTCATGTAGGTGTCCTCGTCCATCCACCCCAGCACATACTTGACGGCCGCCGAGTTGCCACGGAGAGGGATGGAGTCGTACAGATACCGCCCAGTCTCGCAGAAGTGCTGCAGGTGCTGTCCCCTGCCGAAGTGCTGCCGCAAACACGCCTGGCCGCAGTAATGCGGACTGACCTCCCGGACACAGCGGCTGCACACCATGAAGTGCTCCCTCCCAGCCGGCGGCAGCTTGCGGCACACGATGCACTTCTCGACCTCGACACTTGCGTCAGGGGCGACGGGATCCTTCCGCACCATCCACCCGGGCATCTCCTCGAACGTGATCGGCATTTGTACGCCGCAATGCGTCTTGCCCTTCTTGGCCTTTCGGGACGCCGCGACGGTCTGTGGCGCACGCCGGAGGCTGATGACTGTCAGTCTGGGAGCCGCGGGGGGACAGAGAGTGTCGGGAGGGCCGCATATGGTGCTGGTGGAGGGCCGTGTTGGCTGTGATTCGTCGCCGGGAGTCCATTGGGCGACGTGAGTGGCAGACAGACTGCCTGGCGTCTTGCCTGGCGTCTTGGACGTCGGTTGGCAAGTTTGATCCTCGTCATCGCTGCTGTCATCCAGATGGTTCCACTTGGAATAGTCAATAGGTTTCGACATAGCGTAGTTGCTGCCGTGCCGGCACTCGTCAATGGGCACTCGTATATCGGGTAAGAGCGACCGCCCCCATACACCGAAGGTGGTGTGTCGCCTGATTGTTGAAACCAATTAGGCTGTAAGGCTATAGCCCAGGTTATCCATCTGCGGGCGACACATCATTTCCTCAGCAGCCAGCCTTTTCAGGTGGTGCTGGGCCTCCCGATCTTCCTGCCCAGACGGCACTTCCTCAGGCTTCCTGCCTTTCTAGCCACAATTGAGCTTTGCTGTACCGCCCGCTGCTTTTGTCGGCCACTTCATTCCACCATGCCCCGCCGCCAAGCTGACATCCGTCGCTTCCTGCGGCCTGCCGCTGCTTCACACAAGGCGGATCAAGAGCATCAGCAGCGCCATGAGCAAACGACAGGGGAGATGATGGCAGGCACGCCACGTGCACAGATGTGCCGTGAAATGTGTTCATGATGCGTTGCTGTTGTGTCGATGCGTGTGTGTGTTCCAGATTTCAGCAGCCCCGAGACTCAGGCCATCGCCAATGAGATCATCAGACAACGACAGCTGGTATATAAGTCGTCACACAGCATCAAGCTCAGCACACATAAGAACCTGTCTGTCTGTCTGTCTGCTGTTGTGAGCAGGCTGCTCCACCGCCCAATGCATCGCTGTGCGGCGTTCAGCCAGAGAAGCTGGCCCATGTGTGTGACCACATGGCCACACTCGAGGCCGTCCGTCTGGCTCTCGTCAACAAGACCATGCAGGACACGTGCCGTTCGCCGTTCGTCATCCGCCATCTGATCATCACCCCCGCCACCCACAAGCTGTGGCGCAGAGCATCGCGGGCCGTCCTGCGGCAGCGGCGGAGCCGGCTGACCCACCTGCAGACGGCCGCCATCGCCACAGACGAAGAGGTCTACTCGCGAGGGCATGAGGACCAGCCGGGCGACGACACCGCCAGTGACGACGGGCGAGAAGAGGACGATGAGCCGGCGCAAGTAGTGGGCGACAACGAGGAGGTGACGGAGGGGCGCCATCGTGCCCGCGGCCATCGGGCGGTGTACGCCAAGATGCTGGAGGGTTCGGCGGCATCGCTCAAGAAGTGTCGATTTGAGGACAAGACGACAATCGAGCCCGTCTCGCCCGTCGACCTGCCCAACGTCTACAGCAGCCCCGGGCCGCCGAGGGTCACCTTCGGCAAGCTCGAGGGAGGTGGTGATGAGTGGGGCGCTGTGGCAAGGCACGGCCTATGATCGGCGATGGTCCCTTCCCAGCCTCAAGACGTTCGTCAGCATTCTCATTGCGCCCCAGTACGTCATGAGGTGGATCGGGGCGTCGCCCCACCTCACCCACCTGCACATGATAAACCTCCCTCTTCACTACCTGCCATCAGCTCTGTCGGCCGCCCCCTCCCTGGCCAACCTGACCTCGCTCGGCTGCATCCTTCTGACGACGGACGACTCGGACTGGCAGCCGCTGCTGAGTGTGCTGGAGACCAAGGGGGCCATCGGACGCAACGGCCGCATCGACACACTCGGCGTGTACTTTGCTGTGGAGGGCATGGAGCCGGATGGTATTCTCACCAGCCTGCGAGCCCTTGACACGGCCATCCAACGCTTTGCCGGTGTGGGCGTATCGGCTGCCGACACCCACGTGACGGCCATCCCCATCGCATCGTGGGAGGACCATATCATGACCAACGTGATCAGCCAGCCACACCACCAGGCGGGCAGCAGCGGCGCGGCCCCTTCGTTTTCGAGTGCGGCAGCTGCATGCGAGCCGCCTGTGGGCGGTGGGAGGAGGGCGCCCCTCTTCCCCAACATGGTTTCCAGAGCTGACGATGACAACGATGCGAGTGGCGAGATGGCCGACAGGCAGCCCACCCAGCGGCCCTTCAAGCTGCTCGTCTATGTCCCCTCTGAATTTGACGACAACCTGCTGCGTCTCCCCCTGACGGCCTCCGACGTGCTGCCCAAGAAGATCGTCCGCGAGATGGCTCGGGTGGCCGAGTCAATGGAGGTCAAGGCGGTGTCGAGCACGGCATCGGCGGCTGCCCGCGGCAGCTTCGGCGACTACGTGTTCGAGTCGCTGACCGAGCTGACCATTCATGAGTCTGTCGCCGTTCCCGTCACCAGCGGCGTGCTGCCGTCGGTCCCAGCGGTCCCGTACAGCCGCTTCCCCTCCCTGAGCAAGCGTGTTCTCTTCAAGTTCCCGTCCTTCCACCTGCTCAGAGAGGGCGGGGTGAGGGAGCTGCTCGCGGCGACCAAGGGACAACTCGAGAAGATCACCGTCACGCTCACGGATTTCCCCAGCCGATACGACACAAGCTACGGCACGGGCCAGCCGCCGCCCCGTGAGGCCGCCCCCGGCCTCCTCGCGCAGCTGACACTCGAGTGTCTTGACGCCAGCGGCCATGTGGACGAGCTGGTGCTGGCATTCTTCCCCAACACATGGCCCGTTCCACCAGCTGGTGCGGTCGGGGCGGGCCTGTTGCACAGGTCCCCCATCTACCACCTCTTTGCGACACCCGAGCTCGCCGCCCGCCTCCCGCCTATCAAGCAACTGACCTTGAGCACCCCCTACTGCGTCCACGACCGATTCGGCAACGTGCAGATGGACTTCATCATGGACGTCATCAACAACACACCAGAGCTCAAGAAGGTGGAAATCAGCGAGGTTCTCACTGCTCTCATGCAGAATGCGCATTTCGGCCTGCTGCGTCACTTCCCGGCCTACTTGGCGTCTGCCAATGGCGCTGTGGATGAGGCGCTGGCATCCGCCGGGTCGCCATTTGTCGTGGTCAGGGCCGATGACACCAGACTTACACTGGAGCGATAGAGGGACGGCTGCGTTCAGCTGAGGGAGAGGCGGGTGAGGGAGGGAGGAGTAGTGTGTTATATAGATGGCTGGAGACTAGTTGCGGGGTGCGGTGTGGACGCGCCGCTTGTTTGATGTCCTTACACACACATTCGATGTGATGTAGTCTGTCTGTCGAGAGACCTCAGTGTACAGACATTCTCAACTCTATACGTCCAGCCCTTCGCACTCACGCCATGCATGGATCCCACACATGAGTTAACCAACTGCACAACTGCCAGACAGACAGGCAGACAGCCAGACAGATGCACATCAATCAATCAACAGACCCATCCATCCACCAATCCGTCCATCCTTTGCTGGCTGCGGCAGACCGGCCGGCAGGCAGGCAGCGAAATCAGTCAGTCATTGCACCGGAGTCGGGCAGCTGGCCGCAGTCCTGGATGATGACCGGTGCAATGAGAGGCGGCGTTGAGGACAGAGGCCCCGTCTGCATGTCGTAGTCCGTCGCCACTTTGCCATTGTCCTTGGTGGCGCTGCTGTCGTCCCTGGTCAGCAGGGAGATGCTGTGCAGGTGGGCGATGGTCTGGATGTCCTCGATGACCCCGACCACCGTGTCGTACACATGAACCGAGTTGGCCGATGAGACGCTGATGAGGAACCGACCACCTGCATGGGATGAGGGGATGCATGAGAAACGTGACTGACATGAAAGTGACGCATGTGATGACTGACGTAATTACCGTGCCGTTTATAGTCGCGGACGCCCTTGGTCCGCTTGGAAGGCGGGGCTTCACCGATGAGCGACACCACGCCCGGCCGGCCGGGGGCGACGAGCGAGCGGCGGTGGTCCCATTTGCTGTGGTACATGCCATAGATGCTGTCGGTCATGTGAGTCCAGTTGCCGTCAGACAGATAGCCGCCCACCAGGTCGGTTCCCTTGACAGCATAGCCGATGATGGTACCTTAAGGAAGACACACAAGTTCCTCCAGCGCCTGTCTGTGTGTGTGTCTCTGTGTGTGCATGTGTGTGTGTTATCGGTCACTAATGTACGTTTGTAGTGCAGTGGGTATCCTTCCGTGCCGACGCCCTTCTCCCCGGTGCAGTAGCACCTGAAGTTGTTGGCGGCCTTGGGGTTGACGTCTGTGAAGAGGGTGATGACCACACGCCGCACTCTCTCGCCACCATTGCCATCCACGCTGTTCAGATCCAGGAACACCTTGGGCCGCTGACACACACATTACAACACACGTGTGCAGACACAGACAGACAGACAGACAGACAGGGAGTGTGGCTGTGTATCGTGTCTGCCTGTCTGTCTGCGTCGCCCTTGTGTGGCAGCTTGCCTTTGGTGCAGGGCCGTTGGCGATCTGCTGGGCACACTCCAATCCCTCCAGTATGCTGTCGGTGAAGTTGCACGCCTCTTCCTTGACCTGACCACACACACACACAAGGAAGCCCTGACGCCAACCAACTGTCGATGGCCTTTTGTGACGTGACGTGTGTTGCTGACCTTTTTGTTAGGGAACTGCTTGACCTTGAGGCAGATGAGCCGCCAGAGGCCTGTGCTTTCCTGAATGACACGGGCGCACAGGCAGCAGAGAGGGAGGGAGTTGGACGGAGCGTGAGTGATTGTGCCGGGGTCGATGGACCATACTTTGAGCAGATCTGCCCAGTGGTAAAAGTCGACATTCTTGGACAGATACACGTCCAGCTGATAGACCAGCACCAAAAGGTCCTGATTGTCCTGCACACACACACAGACAGGGGACACCGGTATGTCATCCATCCTTCCATCCATCCATCCACCAGCCATCTGCCTGTGTGTCTGCCCACGTTGACGGCGAGTGCGCTCTTAATCGACTTCTCGAACTCCTTGAGCCGAGTGATGACCGAAGCCATGTCGCTGGCCTGGCGGATCTCCTCTTCCAGCCGCTCGCACACAGCCTGCTCATCCTCGGCAGCAGCACCTGGGTCGCCGCTGGCAAAGGAAGCATCTGATGGCGAGAAGGCGCAGAACCCACCCTCGCTGTGTGTGAGTCAGAGACGTTGTGTCATGTGAGTGCAGCCGCCCTACCGAGTGGTCGATTGGTGCCGTAGAGGACGGCATGGATGTCCATGGGCTCGGCGGTCCTGAGCCTCTCGAGGATGCGCATGAAGTCGGCCACAGTGTCCTTCTGCAGGCGGGCCAGCTGCTGCTCCACCAGCACGCTTTCATCGATCGCCTTGCCCTTGCTCTGCAGACAGACGGGCAAATCAATGGACACACACGCCGTTCATATCAGTTGGTGGCCCCTCCCTCTTTTGCCCTCTCCTTCCCTACCTACCTTGAGCTTGCCCATGTCCTGGTCAACCTTGGCGTCAAGCAGCACCGCTAGGTCCATCCGTCGCTGCCACAAACAGCGCCGCACCCAATCCTCCACCCACTGCTCGCCTGGCGAAGGCACCAGGAGACCAGCTGTCGCATGGCGCACAAAGCGGGGCCACTTAACAGCCCCAATGGAGGCGGCAAAGCTGGGGGGGCAGTTGAGGAAGGCTGTCGCCGGCACGGTGTACTTGTCGAGCGGGAAGGACTTGGAAACGCTGCGGAACAAGGCAGACAACAGGCAGGCGTCAGGGGTGGAGAAGACCGGCACGCCGTCCAGTGTGTAGGGACGCGAATGGTTCTGGGGCTCAAAGTGCGGGTCGAAAGCGACGAACCGAACCGTCAGCTTGGCCCGTTGCAGGTCACGCACAGCCGCCTTGGCGAGCGACTGCAGCAGCAAGTCCACACGGGGGACCTTGTCAAGGACGGGCACAAAACGAAGAGCCGGGAGCTCAGAAACACCTGCACCGCCTCCGAATGTCGCGTCCACCACGCAAGCGTGAAAGCCAAAGCAAGAGCCGAAAGCAGCCCCTCGCAATGTCAGATCAACTTCGCCAGCCTGTGGCTCAGAGATCTCGGCAGATGCAGCTGCAGCAATGGTCGGATCACCACAGGCCTCCCCTGTGCCGTTCACGCTAGTGAGGCACTTCTCGATGGCAGCCTTCTCGCGCTCTAGCTGACAGGTATGGAAGTCGGTCATCTCCAGGAACCCGATAAACAGCCGGGCGACGTTGGTGTTGGCGAAGGCCGGCCTCACCAGAGTGCGGAAGAGCTCACACGGCTCCCCATGGTCGTCTTCATTTTCACGAAGGCAGCGTGTTGAGCAGTAGAGCATCTCGCCGCACAGCTGGCATGTGACTCGCCGGCCAACAGATCCGCACTTGAGGCACTTGAGATCAGCAGCGGGATGAGTCAGATCCGACATCGACAGGGAAGAGGCAACAGGAAGAGGCGAGATATCAAGATGGGGCGCTCATAATGTAAGTGGGACAAGCGGTGGACACACAGCGAAAGAGAGGAGGAAACTGTCTGAGGCCAATTAAAAGCTCGCCTGGGGCCCCGATTGTCTCGGGAAGGAGAAGCGCAGTGGTTTCTCTCGATCAGTCTACGCCGGTGCTCTCTCGCTGCTGTCGGTTTTCGTGGGCTCAGAGGAGCACACTTCAGGCTGCGGGCGTTCGCCAGAAGGCAGAGAGCACTTGGAGAGTACCTGAGAACATCAGGACGCCGACGTCCACGTACGGACAACCCACCGAGGTGAGTCACAAATGCAGCACAGCACCCTAATGCACACATATGTGACTCATGTAGTGCTATCCACTCCATCTGCAATGAGCTGTGATAGAAACGCATTGCATGCAATGCCATGCAACATGTTTGTGATGCTGTGATGCTGTTATTCAGTTTGTTGAGGCCAAGGATCACAGTGAGGCCGAGTTCATGTCGATGGGAGCTGACTGCGACGCTGGGATGGGGACAGGCGCGTCCGGAGGCGCCGGGGGCGTCTTCCGGTCTACGCGCATCCCGCCGGCTGAGGAGAACCGCACGGACGCCGCCCCCGAGCGACACGCCGAGGACGAGGAGACCGAGGAGGACGAGGGCTGGGTAAAGCACCGGGTTATGTTCCCAACGAAGGGCCTGCCCTGGATGGTCAAAGCGGCGCGTAAGGAGACGAAGAAACGCAGCACGAAGGCCAAGTGGGGGCGTGCTGGACTCATCTAGAGACACACAGGCATGCTTTGTGGTGCGTCCGTCCCTCTCGTATACATGGCAATGGCATACGAGAGAGAGATGCGCACACTAGAGAGGATGCATGACAATGGGAACCGACTGCAGGTAGAGACACCTTTTTACCTTCGTCTGCACGAGAACTACATAGCCCACCAGCCCACCATGTCTCCACGCCTCGCTACCTTTCGTTTTCACTCTTCCACCAATACACACACAGTGACTGACTGACTGACTGACTGACTGCATGGGTGTTTTCCCTTTCGTCGATGTGTGCATCACGTCGGTGTTTTGTCAATCGATGGGAGACGTCAGCTGCATTGTGGCTTCCATGTCAGAGACGTGTGTGCACGGGACTGCAAGACGCAAGCGCATTCATGGTACTCTATATGTCGAAAATCGAAAACCTCACACAAGTCGAGTTCGGCATCTCACAAATACACAGCTTACACACACAAACACGCTCACCACCTCACTTAATCTGCCTCTGTCTGTGTGTCACACGTGGGTGTCGCGGGTCCGTCCCATTATACACACCCTCAGAGGTCCTTCATCATGTAGACGACCTTGAGTTTGCTCTCCTTCCACTCGACCTTCTCCACAATGCGGTACCGCAGCTTCAGGTACAGCTGGATGGCACTCTCGTTGTCTTCCTCCGCATGCAAACCTATCACGTCGTTACGAACACCAACACGCGACAGCGCACAATCACCATCACCACTGCTGGTGGTGGTGCTGGTAGTAGTGGTGCTGTTGCTGCCGAATGCCGCGGCCATCTTCTCGCATCCCTTGACGAGCCGCGAGCCGACGCCCTTCCTGCGGCACTCAGGACGCACCAGCAGGTTGCAGATGTAGGGGTGGAGGGGCTCCGGCTGCGAGACGAAGGGCAGCAGGACGGCGAGGGCCGAGGACATGACGAACCGCGCCTGCTTCAGGACCATCGGCACGGGCACCCAGTCGGGCATCCGGCCAGAAAAGGGATGCATCAGCAGCTCAGCAAAACCCAACACCCGATGCCGCTCCTTAATCGCCGCCTCCCTGTCCGCAGGGCCTTCCTTGTCCTTTTTCCGCCGGCTTGTGTCGACACGCCTGCCGTCTTGGTCGAGCTTCAGCCGCCTTCGAGACGATGGGCTGAGGGAGGACATGACGCCGCCCTGCCGCAGCAGCGAGGCCAAGTGGGAGGGAAGGGGGGCGGGGAAGGGCAACGCGAGAGAGAGCGCCCGATCGCTGGTCAGTTGATCGGTGGCCACGGCTGCGCTCACTGGCTGCTGCTGCTCATCCTCGGCTGCCGCCTCGCCGGCTGCCTTTCTCGCAACGGGCCGCTCGGATGACGCACGGCCGAACCAGTAGCTGTTGTCAGTGGTCTTTTCTTTTGTGGAGGTATCGTCTGCGGTGGATTGGTTAGGCGGGGGGTCGACTGCCGGGGCGACGACACACAGGAGCTTGTGGTCGTTGCCGAAGGGGAAGATCGTCCTTATCCAGAAGAACCAGAAATAAGAAGAGATGTACAGCAGCCGCAGGAAAGAGCTGCCCACACGATCTGCAGACATTCATTCACGCACACACACAGAGGACACACAGGCCATCCATGGTGTGCATGTGGCCGTTGCGAATGGGTCCCTGCTCACCTTTGTCTTCCTTCTTGCTGATCTCTATAATGTCCGACAGCTCACTCAGCGTCACCTCCTTGACCTCTTGCCGCGAGAAGTCCACACCAAAGTCCTTCTGCACGGGAAACAAACCCGTCCTGATCTCGTACTCCAGCGCGGGCAGCACAGCCACGATGAAAGGCACCAACAGACCAATCAGCTCCAGCAGCCAGAAGTTTGGCGGCAGCAGCACAGGGCCCGACACCGCATCAAGCCGAGATGGGTGCCGCTGACGGACAAAGGGAGAGCGGAGCCGCCGCCTTGTGCACGCGTGATGGATAGTATGAGGGGATGTGGCGAGAGATGGAGAGGGGATGGGAGCGCGCGCCAAGAAGGCAGGTGGCGGCGGTGGCAGATGCGGCACCAAGATGCTGGTCAGCATCCCCCTTTCTCTTTTCTCCGCTGCGCAGAGAGACCTCTCGATCGCCTCGTTTCGCTGAGAATCCTTTCCAGTCGGCTTCCTGTGCTTCACACAGCATTCACCGATGCGTCCGGAAAGCGGCGGGGAGGTGAGAAAGATCCGACGGCAGCAGCAGTTTTAAGCTCGCACATGGGGCGTGGGAAGAAAGGAAGACGCAAGAGGCGTGTGAACCTCTGAGCACCTAGATCCGACACAGATCCTTCCCGTGGAGGATGGTGCAAAATAGATGGATGAGCCGGATGAAACGCAGACAGAGGAATGGCAGAGGTACGCAACGACAGATGCACTGACGTGATTGATTGATTGTGAGTCACGATTCAGGCATCAACACGCGATGAAGAAGCGACTCATTCTCGATGATTCATTCCACTGGCGCATCCCCACTGCAGCAACAGGCCCACTCGACGATGGCAGACCAGCACTCACACGAGTGAGTGCGCAATGCACACCACATGCCTGTACCACGCCAGGGTGAATGCTCTCATTCGGGTGTGTCACGTGCCTACCTACAGGTGGGCGGTGTGGATCTCAGCTTCTTCAAGGAGGACCCTTCACGGGCCGTGGCCGCACTCGTGGTGCTGGACTTCGACACGCTGGAGGTGACAGTCACCCTGCATTAGAGTCCCCACCCGTGTGAGTGTCTGTTGTCGGTTTTTGTGTGTGTGTGTGTGTGTGTGTGTGTGTGTGCAGGTTGTGTACGAGAGGTGCCGCGAGGTTGAATTGAACGTGCCCTACATGCCAGGATACCTGGCCTTCAGAGGCAAGGGAAGAGGACAGAGAGGGCTATGGCCGTTTCTGTCTGACAAGTGAGGGTGTCTGATCTCATCTGTGTGGGTGTGCTATGGATGGAGTGCAGAGGCGCCTCCACTCGCTGCACTGATCGAAGACATGAAGGTGAACATCCAGCCACTTGTGCCACAAGTAGTGCGGACACCTCGTTGCGTTTCGTCTCATAGGCGACGTCTGATGAGTCCGTGTGGCCTCAGCTGCTGCTGGTCGACGGCAACGGCATACTCCATCCAAGAGGTCAGCCAGACAGAGGTGACACATGATGACCGCACTCATTCTCTGTGCGTGACATGTTCAGGATTTGGTCTGGCCTGTCATCTCGGGCTCCTTGTGGACATTCCGACCGTTGGGGTCAGCAAAAACATCCACACCGTCGATGGCATCACCAGAGTGAGCAGAACAACGCTGCAGCGAGGATGCAGACACAGGCTTTTCCTTCCGTCAGGAGGTGGCCCGTGAGCTCGCATCCCGGCACCTGACGACCGCCCCTTCCCACCACTTGCTGAAGGGCGACACGCGAGGTGTCTTGGGGGCGATATATCGGCCGACGGATGATGCCACGGTGCCGCTGATCGTGTCATGTGGGCACCGAGTGTCGCTCGACACCGCCCTGAAGATACTGCCGCACCTGTCCAAGCACCGAGTGGCCGAACCGGTGAGCAACATCCTGTACGCTCTCTCCCTCCACACATGCAGTCTGTGCGCGCGTGTGTGTGTGTGCGTGTGTGTGTGTGTGTGTGTGTGTGTCACGTGCAGATTCGTCAAGCCGACATTCGTTCTCGCGCGATGGTGCGGCGGCTGGCGAATAAGGCCGCCGAGACTGAGTGACAGATGACGGACTCAGTAGGTGTGTGTGCCATGGTGGACGACTTGTGTGCTGTGGATATATTTATGCAATCGTGTGGTGTCGATTATTCTCATCGAGACATTCATGTGACAGGAATACGTTGATTTCCGTGATCGATGATCCAGTCATTCATTCGTTTGGCAGCCATTCAGGAATGCGCCCCAGCTCCTTCTTGACTCTGTCGAGGATTCTGCTACGATCGGTCCCTGGCGGAAAGCGAGCTGCAGGCGGCCAATACCATTCGCTGCGGCTGCTGTATTTCTTCATTGTCAAAGCGGCCGTCCCTTTCCACTGTCCCTGACACACTTCCTTGCAGAGTAGGAGTCGATTTAGGGGGAAGACAGACAGACTGACGCACAAACAAAGACCGCCTCAGCACATACATGCACCCATTGCGTATGAAGACCGGTCTCTCTGTCTAAGCTCTCGATAGATACATGGAGCGGTAGAGGCCTTTTAAAGTGCTTATCTATCTCGCCTCCAGAGAGACACAGACTCCAGGGCGACTGTCCGGCTGTCCGACTGCCTAGATGTCCAGGTCCTCGAGCTCGTTCCTGTCTGCTTCGGGTCCGCACTCGAATCTTAGCCACAAATGCTCGGCGACCAATGAGATGATCGTCAGACCGATCCCCAACATTGCTTCACAAACCAGAAAAAAGAGCACAACAGAGAGAGACGCGACACGAGAGTGGTTCACGCTAATTCCACGAAGCCCACTGATGATGCCCGCTTCCTTCGATAGAAGCGTGCTGGGGGACACGTCATTCATTTGCTTCTCGAAATGGACCCAAAAGCCGAAGCCTGAAAGGTGGCCCAACGCGTAGAAATAGCACGGCAGTAGTTCATCCTACCTGCGAGAAAAAAGGCTGTTGCGATCCACTTGAATGGCCTGCTCAGCAGCAGAGCCGGGACCGTCATATTGATGTCCATTATGCTGTCCCCCCCCCGGATAGTGTAAAAGTGGAGGTTATCTTCCATCAGATCGGCTCCCCACGTATAGAATCGACGAAGGTCGAACTTTTCGGGATACCAGGTGGCGATGCAGCACAGGCACAGCAACCTGCCGATGATCATACCCATCATAAAGGCCAACAGCATCGCGCAGTATATCAGGAAGTGAAGGAGGTGACCGATGCATGTGATTTCCGCTGCTCCCGTGATCATATCGGTGGTGCCAGGTAGAGGCTGCAAAGGCACAAGCACACGCATAGACGACACACAGCAGGAGAGACACATCACGCATATGAGAGAGACATGGTGTCTGCTATTTATTTGCTTACTTGCAGATCACGGAGAGTAGGAGGAAACAGATGCCCGTTGCGATGAATCCCATGCCTGTTTCATCCGTCTCGTCCCATGGACCGCCTCGATTGACCGGCCGTTCGCCACCAGGGTAGACTGTCCCGACATGGCCGTAGGCCAGTCCTGCACAACATGGCAGCTGCACCTTAATTGGATCACCGTATTGGCATGCTTACCGGTGATCAAGAAGCACACCGGGATGAAATCCAAGGCCGCCACACTCAGGTTGAACACCCTCATGCCCCTCATGACGATAAACACACCGTGCCACGCTGCTCCTACACCACACACAGGAAGATAAGGACTCACCAGCCAGAGGACGACAGCAGGGGATGTTTGACGTGCACCTGCTCCGCGTCTGTCGTGACGAGGAGCGCGGGAAGGCGTTTCCCGTTCCTTCAAACAGGCGGCAAAGTCCCTCGGCGGTGGGGGCCTGGGGGCGCTCTCCAGGTCCTCTCCCTCTCGGTGCGACGTGGACTTCAACATAATGCTGTTTGTGCAGCTTTTGACCTTGGCCGAGGTGAGATTGAGCCCACAAATGTGATGAACCTGCACGCAGTGCTTATGATGCTGTTGCAGGACGTATGGGCCATTCTCGTCGTGGATGAGGTACATGATGCCGTACGTAGATGATTTCATGGGCGTCTCCACGCGTTGAATTCTCAGGACTATCCATGGACACTCTTTCTCACCTTCACCCTGCTCGCCATTGTCACGGGCCTCATTGAGAACCTCCTGGAGGACTCCACGGGCAACATCCAATGTACTTGCACAATTTCCGGCATCCGGAGCCTGGTGCGCGACAATTTGAAGAAAGCCGCCATCACCCTCATGGAGCTTGCCCAGTTTTGTCTCCTCTTTGGCCTCACGTAATCAGACGCACGCCATGTCTCTGTTGCTGCATTTTCTCTTGTTCTACCTGCAGGACCATTGGCTCCGCTGGACTTGGGGCTCATTCCATTTTCTTTTTCGTCGCGCTCTTGGTTCAAGGTTGCGCGATTTGGCTGCCGCTCAAAGGCTACTTCACTTGTACTACCAAGGAGACTGCAGAGAAGAAGAAGGACGACACCAGGGAGAAATACGAGGCCTCACCAGCAGCACAGAAAAGCAAGGCGTCCGGAAAGAAGCTGAGTGGTGGGGAAGATGAAGTAGGGCAGGGGGCAACGCAAGTAGGAGGGCCCAGTGACGAAGAAGGGAAGCCGACAAAGACAGCAGAGAGAGCGACTTGGCTGTCGCCGGCCAGGGGCCAACTGGCAGCGGGGGACGCCGTCTTTGCTGTCCATGCCCTGGCCCAGCGTTTCCTGGCAGGTCAACTGGAGAGACATGTGAAACCACTCTGAAGGATGAGAGAAAAAAGTACCGCCTCGAAACAAGTATGGCAAAGTCCAACGATCCGCTATACTTGTATGGCATATGTGCGGGTTTGTCTGTCAGAGGAAGAAAAGGAGAAAAGGGAAAAGGAAACCGAAGAGAAAGCGGCCGTCGTGCTGGATGTTGGAGCGCAGGCGGGCATTAAACGGGACGGCGAGGAGCAGGCAAAAGAAGGCAACATGGCCAAAGAGGGCGGGGACGATAAAGACAGGCAAGAAGCGGACGCTGCGCAGCGAAAAGACGGAGAGACGCTGTCAGAAGAGAGTGTTCCCGTCGGACAGCTGATTTTGATGTATGCAGACGACGAGAAAATGTTGCACGCTGACAGTGTGGCGGAGGAGGAAGCAAAGGCGTACTCTCGCCGTAAGGGTGTGGCGGTGATCTTCGGGTGGACTCTTCTCACTTCAGCCCTGCCCCTTCTGTACTTCCCCTTCGATGATGAATCGCCCTTCAGATCAGCTGCTTTCGATATGTAGCCTCTTTGGGGGGGAGGGTCGTATTCATAGATATGTTTTCACGTGTCTTTCCTCTTGTCGTTTTTCATTCAGCGCCTTTACAATCAGCATCTGGTACGCATCGTTTGTGGTCGGCACTATCAACGACACATTCAAGGAATACTATGGAGACGAGCAAAGGGTGAAGTTCGAGCTGCTAGGGGATTTCTTCAATCAGCCGGGACTCCGTGAGACCTCAATCTCGGATGTGAGCCACACACACACACACACACACACTATGGGGGCAGCATCTGGTCTCCTAGCCATGCCATGTCTCTTGCCCATGTAGATAGCATGGAAACTCCGTTACATCCGCTTTGAAGAGGCAATCGTGAGCTGCTATTCAATCAATCGTTGATTCCCTAGTTGTGGTGTTGTGCTTCCATCCTTGCGTTGCGTTTCTTGCAGAAGAAGACCGTGCAGGGCGGCGACTCGTTGCTGCACCGCATATTCATTTTCGTCGGCTGGGCGTATACGACCGTCTTCCTTGTGACCGTGCCGTTCGTCGGGCTGCTGTATCTGGACCATGCTTTCCGCTTGTACGAGAAGGCCTGGTGTGTGCTCGGGATCATCTACGTCACGATCGGCTATGCCGTCTTCCTCGGTTTTATCGGTCCAGCACTTCGCGCCTCACGAGCTGTCCGATGCAACCTCGAGATGAGCCGGCTGCCAGCGGAAAACTCAACGTATGTATGATCTACTCATGGAATGAATGGGGATTGCATCCCATCGTTTGTGACATGTCTCACCTGCAGCATTCAATTGTGTTATCGCGTCTCATACGGTTGCACATTCTGTTTTCTGCCCGTTGCAGCTCTCTGCTGTGATATCCCAGGTGGCTTCCTGCTAGCACTGAAATATCGAAAATGATCGAATTCTGTGCATGTCTGATGGCAGGCTTCCTCTGGGCTTCCTTTCTGATGCGCGGGGAGAAAGACTTGAACGAGCGGAACGCACTCCACGTGGTGAAAACACGAATGTCCCGTTCGACACAAGTGGCGTGCGTAGTGTCATGAGCCCGTGTGTGTCTGCAGATGAAGGCATATTTTGGGTGTGCGTCAGTCGTCTCCGTGTTTGCGGCAGTGGTGCTGCTCTTTTGGGCGGGAATCATCCTGTGCCGAGACGAGATACTGGAGTTTTCAATTGCCGTCCAGGAAGCTGTCGATGGATAGTCAAATAGGCAGGCAACAGCTTTCAATGTGCCTTTTTGCCTCTGAACGTTTCTGTTTGTGACCTATCGCGGCCAACGAAACGAGAAAAGGGAGGAGTGGACCGAGACGTAAACAGACATGATGTTCCAACCGATAAAGCCCATACAGGAAGCCTTGCGTGAGCAACATGCATGTCGATGGCGAGACATACGCACGTGTTGGCGTTCCAAATTGTTTCATTCGTTCTTACTCGGAAAGAGCCAATATCTCCGCGCCGCCCAGATGTTTTTTCGTCGGTGAGTATGTGTGTGTGTCAGATTCGTCAAGCCGACATTCGTTCTCGCGCGATGGTGCGGCGGCTGGCGAATGAGGCCGCCGAGACTGAGTGACAGATGACGGACTCAGTAAGTGTGTGTGCCATGGTGGACGACTTGTGTGCTGTGGATATATTTATGCAATCGTGTGGGTGTCGATTATTCTCATCGAGACATTCATGTGATGTGACAGGAATACATTGATTTCTGTGATCGATGATCCAGTCATTCATTCGTCTGGCAGCCATTCAGGAATGCGCCCCAGCTCCTTCTTGACTCTGTCGAGAATTCTGCTACGATCGGTCCCCGGCGGAAAGCGAGCTGCAGGCGGCCAATACCAATTGCTGAACCAATGAGGGAAGAAGCGCCCGCTTTGGGCTTTTCCTTCAGCCCATTGGCCCTCAAAGACCACATATTCACTGCCCAACCGACTGAAATAGACCGTCCCTCTCCCATGCCGCTTGCCGTCCTCCCACTGGCCTTGATACTGCTTGGTGGGAGAGAGGGAGTCCTTGTAGCTGGTGTCATTCCGTGCATACCCCCACCCTCCCACTGCCCCTCATAACACTTGAGGCTGTTGTTGTAATAGCTCACTCCGTCCCCGTGCGGCAGGCCGTCCTGCAGAGGCCCGGTGTAGGTCTTGCCGTCCTTCAGGGGGAGCTTCTCCGCCTTCCCCTCGCCGACCACTTGCCCGTCCTCCCACCGCCCCTCACTCGTGCCGCCCTTCGGCCAGTGAGCTGTCCCGCTGCCGTGTGGTGTGCCGTTGCGCAGGGGCCCTTCATAGTGACAGCTTTCCCAAGGCAAGCGGCGCTCAATCCCATCGCCGACCATCGCGCCGTTCGCCCACTGTCCGTCGCACGCAGTGGAGCCGTCGCTGTTGAACAGCGTCCCTGAGCCGTGACGATTGCCGCGGGCGAACTGCCCTTGATACTCTCTCGTGCAGTTTCTGTGGTAGGAGGTGCCCTCGCCGTCGAAATGTCCGTCCTTCCACGCCCCCTCATATCGCTTGCGCTGTCCGTCGAGCGTCCTCAGGACTCCAGTGCCGTGTGGCTTGTTGTGAGAAACCGTCTCGTAGTAAAGCCCCCCGCTCCACACGAGGGTCCGCGGCGTCAGCTGGCCGCTCTCCCTCTGCGTAGCCAGCTGAGCCTCCGCCTGCTCGCATCGCCGCTTCCAGGCGTCTCGCTCCTCTTTGTACTCGTCTCTTTGCCTCTTCAGCTCGTCTACCAACAGCTGCTGCGTGTGTCTGTGCTCGTCCGCCTGCCGCTGCACGATCTCCACCATGTTGGCGGTGAACGCACTGGAGGCGGCCTCCGAAGGGGCGTCATCAGCCATGTCGCAACGAGAAGGCGCCGAAGTCTCATTATTCGTGACGGCCTTAACGTACTTGGCCAGGATCGTTGGCTGGAATATTTTCTCTATGTCCTCAACTTCTTATTCGCTGATAGTCTGCGCTAGCGTTGTATGTGTAGTGGAGAGACGATGTTGTGGAGAGACGACAGAAGAGCGGAGAGAGCTGCAACGATGTGAAGGAATGCATTGGAGAGACGCGAGATCACTCTGGAGAGAGCGGGAGAAGTCGAAGAGACGGCTTCGTAGTGCCCTTTCTCACCGTTGCTTTCTGCCTCCGCCTGCAATAACTGTTTGTTTGGCTCTTGAGACGGCATTGGGTGCTCAAAGCAACCTTTTCTGTGCGCTTTGAGGGGCAGACGTGTGGCAGCGTCTTTCTGCGTGCGTTTTTCGTCGTTTCTTTTGCCCTTCTTGCGCCAAGCGTGCTCTATGGGTTTCGTTCGCTGGTGTGTGGCCTCCTGCGTGCCTTCTGCAGTGTCCCTTTGGTTCCCTCTCTGTTTGTCTTGGTGTGTTCCCCGCTTCTGGTGCTGTTTTCACCGTTTTTTTCGCTCGTCCTGGACGCCCCTGAGGTGGGGGGGTGTGCTGTGTGCTGCTGGTGTGCTGAGAATCGTGTGGGCAATGGATGCAACTTCTTCCACGGGTTTTCTGAAAAAGCTAGCATAGCTCGCGGTAAAACGACCCGTCTAGTGGTCCGTGTAATGGCTGTCGCTGTGTCGTTGTTGTGTGCTCCACTTCTGGTGCTCCTTTTGCCAACTTTTCTGCTGGTGTCGGAGGGCACTGAGGCGTGGGGATGTCCTATGGATTGCTGCTTGTGCTTAGATGCTTCTTCTGTGGTAATCGATGCGTCCCTTCGCTTCGTCTTTGCCTGTAGTGGTGTTTTCACCGTTTTTTTCGCTGATCCTGGACGCCCCTGAGGTGGGGGTGTGTGCTGTTTGCTGGTGGTGTGCTCAAAGGGTGCGGGCACTGGGTGCAATTCTTTCCACGGAAGGTCTGCAAAAGCTCGCCAAAGCTCGCGGTAAAACGACGACGACGCCGTCTAGTGGTCCGTGTAATGGTCATGATGGCATGGCATCCCTGAAGCACACCCACCCAACGCGGAATTGGGTCAATACCGTACGGTGGCGTTTACGCAATGCCGTGCGGATCGAGCTGGAATGAGAGAGTGTCACACGAGAGCCGCCACACGACACACACGCAACAACACAACCTCAATCGCCTCCCTCTGTCTGACTCAAAAGCGACTCAATGGCGGCTCTGTCCCCTCGTCGAATGACTGTGGTGCTCAAGCTTCACTGAGAGGCGCGTGTGGATATTGACATCGCCTCTCAGTGAAGCTTGCGAACAATGGCAGTCCGACGGAGGTGGAAAGATCACAGGCGCATTCACAGACGATTGGCACAGCTACACAGCCTGTCTCGCTCACCCTCCACCACAAGACCCGCGCATGACAAGCTCGGACATCTCACGGACTGGTTTACAGCAGGACAGAGTGTTCGTGGGCCATCAATAAAGCGGGTGTATCAGAAAGAAACGTGTACGTACGTGTGTACTTAATGTGATGTATGGGCACATAACAGAGGCACGTCTCTGCCTGTGGGTCGGTCAGTACAGCCACCTCTCTCTCTGCTTGACAAAATGGCGGGGCCTCGTGCAGCTCTCCCAGCTGCATCCTCCATCATCCATCCATGCACTTGACGCAAACAACGACCACAAGAAAAGGCCCACATCGACGGCAATGTACATGTCAGGCAGCCCCTTATCTAGAAAATGGCCAGAGAAATACACATGACACGCCAAGACCGCATAAATGCGACGACACAGACACTCACACGACGCATGCCAAAACCCCACACCGACTCGTGCAGTCGATGGCGTTCATCTGAGGGAGGGAGGAAGAGAGAGAGAACGGACGCGCGTGTGTGACGGTATGAAACAGACAGACATGCATCCTCTCACTGTACACGTACGCTCGTGTGTCCCCCTGTCTGCCTGCCTGTCTGCCTGTCTAGAAGCGTATGGTGATGGATCCCCCGGTGTACCTCCTCATGAACTCGATGAAGATCCACACGTACTGGATGCTCAGGATGATGAAGCAGAAGAACATCAGAAACAGCCACCACTTCTTGCCGCGCAGCTTGTCACTGAACGACTCAAAGAAGAACCGCAGCGGCACCACCCACGACAAGATGCAGAAGATCACCAGAAACCAGCTGCACACAGCATCACGCACACACGCAGGCCAACAGATACACTCGAGTGTGCTGTGTTGCGTGTGAGGTCATTCCTGCGGATGCTCACCTGCCGCCATAATACCACAGACCATCCGGGAGAGCCAGGCTGAGGAGGCACTGCAGAATGCCGTGGATCGCCATGGCGAACTGGCACATGAGCATGTGGCCCGAGTTGTGCTTCGGCCCGCAGTCGACATAAGGCAGCCACATGATCAGCCCAACCACCACCACCGCAAACACAATCTCCGCCAGGCCTGAAACGACACCGTGCAAACACGACAGGGCCGTCTGCTTTCTCTTCACGGGCCTGCCTGCGTGCGGCGCATACCTGAGGCGATCAGGTCAGCCACTGCCATGGTGTTGCTGCGTCAGATCTGAGTGTAAGCGCCCACAGGCTCAGATGCACACACAAGAAAGCCCTGAATGAGGACCGGCATTTGCCCACCTGCAAAGAGATTCTTGTCGTTCGGGAAGAGGGTAGATCTGCCGTTGTCCCTTTTCTCCTGCAGCGGTTCACTATCTCCCCCTGCGAGCTTAGATGGCCGTTTCGAAGCTCGCATTTGAAAACGGAAGTGTCAAGTCTCCGAGACATTCACCAGTCGGTGCCAAAGTGCAACGACTATCCGTTTTCAATCGCTCTTCCTCCGAATGGCTCTCGAGTTTTTCTGACCCGTCATCCTGCAGTTCCTGGGCATAGACGTGCTCATTCGACGGTCCGTGCCGGCCGTCTGGGCCACCTGAGCGTCCTGGAGAGGCGTGAAGGTTCTGGGGATGCTTCCGATGGCCCACAAGAGAGGCTCAGCTTCTCGCACTGGCGGGCCCCACCAGGAGCATGAGGGAGCCATGCCGATGGCGTCAGGACCTCCGGGAATGTGTCTTCCGGACGACGAGTAAGCGACAAGGATGGTGACTTCGATTTCCGTCCTGAAATTGTCATTTGTGGTTTGCAGGCGTGGTTTGCTTCCTCTGCCCCAGGCCGCCCAAGAGGCCCCGGCCCTCCTCCCCAACCCGTTTCCACACCAAGGTTTTCCCGTCTTCCCCATCACGCCTCATGGGTTCACACCAGAGTACTTCGGATGCCAATCGGCTATCGGTGAGCTGCCGTCTCCCCTCGCTCTGACGGCCACTGACGAGACAGAGGGCGGCATCAGCCCCGCGAGCACCCTGTCGCCAGGGCGGTACAGCACACGTGGCAGCCATGTAGGTGCGTACGACCTGACGATGTCGTATGAGTGGGGCGGCGTTTCTGGCGAGGGCGATCCGTTTCTGATGCCGCGGCCCCTCCAGAGGGAGAGGAGCTACTCGGCCAGCCAGTACGACCACTACGTCGGCACACAGGCGGAGCACCCATTCATGCAGTGGATTGAAAGCTGCAGGGGCAACAAGGCCGCTGCTGGTCAGCCCGACAGGTCTCACTCGCCACTGCTGCCGTCTCCGCTGACCCTGTCAAAGACAAAAGGAGACCCGTCTGCCGCGGCGTCAGGAGATCCCGACACCCTGCTGTCGCCGATCATATCAACGCTGCACCCCTTCCAGCAGCAGGAGGGCCCGGCCTTCGCGCACCACGCCATGATGGAGGCGCCGGAGCCCGAGGAGCCCTCATCGAGCAGCGGCCAGCAGGGAGGGGTTGATGTGGAGGACACGAATGATGAGATTGATGATCTCGGTGAGAGGATGGCGCTCGCATGTCTCGACGAGGACGACCTGCCAGCCGCTGCTGTGTTGGGGGAGGAGATGGGCGAGGACGAGAAGAAAGAAGTGCTGGAGGCGCTGCGTAGGAGGCTTGTGGCCCTCATGGGCAAGAAGGAGCCCTTCAACACAGTCATGGAAGTCACGCGTAAGCACTTACACCAAACACACGGGAAGGCGAAAGCCGTACAAAGAAATTTGTCCTTGTCTGTTGATATGCAGCGTCTCTGGCGTCTTTGATTCCGTGCACAGCATCGGGAGAGTCCATGTCGATCGGGTCCATCTGGCACACCGAGGGCTTCTGCCGCGCCTGCGTCTTCGCCTTCAAGCGCAGCAACCGGTGCAGCAATGGGCCAGGCTGCCTCTTCTGCCACCACCCCGACCACAGATCCCGCGCCTATAACAAACAACTCAAGAAGGACCGAAGGCAGACAGAGGGACAAAACAACAACCACAGCAGCAGCAGCCAGGATGCGATACAGGCGGCGTCATTGGGCGCTCCAGGAGGGCCGTCGCCGCCCTCCCTCACGCCCTCGTCGAGCGCTGCGTCCCCCCCGGCCTCGCCGCCGCACCTGCCCTTCCCGTTTCCCATTTTGCCCACCCCCACATACCGCCTCTCAGAAGTGACCAGCGCCTCAACAGAGCCGGACGACCACTCGAAAGGAGGAAGGAGTGCAGCGGCGAAAAGACCTCCGCCGCCGCAATCTCAGCCAAGCGGTGGGCGGTGAGGGTGTGTGGACACTGCGCACAAGGCCATGGAGGGCAACAATGGCGGCGGTGGGGCGGTTTTTGGCCCTCCCTTGGGAGAGGCAGACAGTGACATTGACATCAACTGGCTGCCTGTTGGGGGGCAGATGTACTGGTACTGAAAGGGCAGCGGGCTATCGACGGGATGGGCAAAGGGGTGTTTGTCTGTCTGGCTGTCCTGTTTGTCTAACTCTATCCCTCTCTCTGTGTGTGATGCAACACTGCTGGTTGGGCGAGACGCTTGGATCGTCGCAAAAACGGCACGCGAGAGCATTCTGTCCTTACGACGGACGGACGGACGGACGGATGGATGGATGAACACACGGTTGGCTGTCTTGACGGTGATATACACCGGGACTGTTGGTACTTCAGCGTACTGAGAGACTCACAGTGAATGATCTGCATGACTACGATGGACTGTATGTGTTGCGTTGTGTGTGGAATGAAGCGAAGCGACAGACAGCGAGCAGACACAATGAAGCGATGAACGAAGGAGGGCTGAAAGGTCTATACATTCACTCAGACAGTCAGCACGAGATGACGTGTGTCCATGTGTGCAGGCATGTCTGTAAATATATGCACATATTTGTGCAACCAGCCACATGCGCACACACACGTACACGCACACGCACACGCACACACACCATATGACATGTATAAAAGCGCCGATCGATCTGTATGTCCCGACACACACTCACACACACGGACGTGCACAAATACGCACACACAGCAAGCTGCAGGCAGCGAGAGATTAGACAGACAGACAGACAGAGGGAGGGGAGGAGAGAGGCGGGACAAATGAGTTATGAAAGCATTCTCATACACTCATGCGCGCGTACACACAGACAGACAGACAGACAGACACACATACATACACGTGGGGCCAGTTTGAAAACCGGACACATGAAGGCAGGCAGGGCACACACACGACAGACACACACGACACCACCACGCACTTGTCTTACCAAATGCCCTCAATTTTGTGTCCATTGCCTATACATCCATGGATGCATTGGTGGCTTTCATTGCGATCTGACACGCGTCTCACTACGTTGCTGGGTGGAGCTCAGAGAGAGAGAGAGAGAGAGAGAGGGGAGAGAGAGACAGGGAGGCCAGACGGCGCAAATGCGATACATCCACTCGACCGGCCGACCGACCGACCGACCGACCTAACCACCGACGGCGCCATGCCTGCATGCATATATGCATTTGCGCATACGCACCCGCCAGCCGGCCAGCCAGTCTACAAGGCAGCCTGGCTGGCCCCCTACGTGCGTACGGACAAAAATGCAAATAGGCAGACAGATAGACAGACAGATGGTCTATGGACCCACACGCACAACCAACATGGCAGCACAGCACAGCACAGTCACCGTCACAGTCATAGACACGTCATCACGCAGTCCCCAGCATCTCCTCGTCGTGCTGCTGATCACCACTGGTGCCCTCGTCTCCAGCACCAGCACTCTCGCCCGGCGCCGCTGCCGCCCTCCACGACCCATCCTTCAACGCCGCCAACGCAGCCGTCACGCTGGCTGCAGTCGCGACAAGCAACGAACCAACCACACATGCACCCATCAGCCCCCGTGTGTCTCATCTCGCTCACCATTGGTCTGTTGGATGACTGTGTTGACCTCTGTTGGCGTCAGGGCTTCGTCGCTCTCCCTGATCATGGCGGCGAGGGCCACCACCTGTGCAGCGTCGGCGGATGCGAAGCCGGCTGTGGGGCGGTAGGTGACCTCGGGAAGCCGCTGGCCGGTCGCGTCATACAGGAGGGGAAAATTCAGCGGGCCCTGATTGACGGGTGAACATGAACATCGCCCTTGGCTTGATGTGATGCGTACCTCGGTTTGTGGTGCTTCGACGGCCGATGCGCCCGCAGCTGTCGAGTGACCATACTGAGTGGGTCCCTTCATGTGGCCGTGGACGTCGATGACGGAGAAGCCAACGAGTCCGATGTGGTCGGGATCGGGCGACTCGAAGTCGGCCTCGGATGTGGAGGCGCTGAACACACACGCACACGCCCAGGGTGCCGACAGCTTGCTTGCCTCGACTCTGCTGGTGTGTGTGCCTACTTGTGTGTGATGTACTTGCCCACACGCACGATGAAGTCCTCTCCAGGGCCGTCGTTCTGACAGACGACACACAGCAGGGACATGCACAATACGACCTCTCTTGCTTTTCGTCTCTCTCTGTTACAGTGAAGTAGGCGATTTCGATGGGGTCTGCCCCTTTGTTGCTCGAGATGCCGCTCGCCAACACGTCGGCGCCGTCAGGCGTGAAAAGAAAGAGGTCCAAGTCGGTCAGAGCACCACCAGAAGACTCGCCTGCATAGGGCAACACAGTGGGAAGATTCCGTGGATGAGTGCCCAAGGGGTGTCTGTGTGTGCCTGTACCAGCTGCAGACACATAAGGGTCAGCCCAGTTCTGCGCACACGTGTACAGACAGACATCGGCATGACACAGGCGTGTGTGGATGATGAAGGTGGATGCATCCCCTGACCCCCCGCTCACTGACCAGCACGAGAGTGGCGGTGGTGTTTGCGGCTATCCTGATGGGCAGGTCGAAGTCTGATGTACTCGAAAACTTGTGCCACGTGTACGGGAGGGACCCTATTAGCAACAGACGGCAAACAGACAACTCCTCGCCCAGTGGCTGTCTCAGTGCTGGTTGTGCCCTTTGCCTTCTTACGTCCGAAGAGCGAGACGGTCTCGCTGACGCCGGAGTCCTCATACGTCTCGAAGAGACCCGCAGCGTCGAATCCTCCTGACCAACCAGACACATAGACAATCGCCTGCTGTCCTCCTCTCTCTGCACGTGGCGCCGCCGCCCCCTCACCTGCGGCAGAGAAGTAGGAGGTGTTCTTCGCGGCCACGGTGTCGATCGCCTCTGCGATGACGGAGTCGGCGAAAAAGGGCTCTTGCAACACGGTCACATGATCCACCTGATGACACATGATGCACGAGCCGCCTGGTGTCCGCGCATGCACCGTGCCAATGTCTGATGTACCAGGACGTTGCAGCCCGTCTGCTCGGTGAGGCTCTCGATGCCCGCGGCGAAGGCCGCCTGGCCGTGAAGGGCAGTGTTGAAAGCGAAGCTCCTCAGGCCAGGCAGGGCCTCATGCACCTGCCGCATTATCCTAGCACCCTGCACACAGACAGACAAAGGCAGCTCCACACGGATGGGTGAACCCAATCCATTGCCTCGTCTCCCCTACCTCATCGTTGCCATCAGCCGTATCGGTCTCCGCGACCACATCGATGTCATCTTGAAAATTGCGGGTGTTGTTGAAAGAGTCAGATAGCACCCCCACACACCTCACCGTCGACCCGTTGACACCATACATCTCTCGGGCAGACGCAGCCTCCTTGTCCACCGACGCGTCCGCAACGGGCACCACACGGGCCTGCGACGCCCGCAGGACGCGCACGCTCTCCATCTCGGCCACACCAGCAATGTTGTGGAACGGCACGAGTCCGCCGATGACGTGTCGGTACTGGGTGAGGTGGGTGACATTGAGTGCGTCTAGCTGTGCCATGGTGGTCCGTAAGCCATCAAAGGTGGCGAGTCTCGGATCGATGGTGATATCAGCGTATACGCCCTCCTGAGTTGCCACTGTGTGCGTCGCTTCTGCAAAGAGTGGCAGCTTCGAAGGGTCGCGGAGAAGACCTCGATGTCGCTGGAAGGATGGACCGAAACCCGACGATAGGCCGAACGGGTCGATCGCGGATACTGATGAAGTGGCGTTTCCCGACGCCTGCTGCTGGCTCTCGTAAAATACCTGCAGGCATCACCGGACGGACCCAGCAACACAGTGAGACTAGGTAGGGTGGGGATTGTGAGTGTGCAGTGCGCGAGGGTACTTACGTCTTCCATTGCGTGAAGAGCGAGGTCAAGCATGACAGAATCGAGCTGAATCCCATGGGTCGGCTTGACGACCGCCTCAATGGCCGCTGAAATGCCGCCCCTGACACTGGCCTCATCTGCTCATTTCACACTCACACACAGATGTTCGCTACTGCGCTACACGCTGTGGCTGCCTGCTGCGCTCTGTCCTTTTCTGTCCTGCATTGCTTGCCTTGCAGTCTGCGGCGTCCCGAGATATCGTATCTACGCAGTGAGTGTTTTCCGTCCGAGGCGACGCACACAGCAAGGAAGATGCTTACATACAGAGCTGGCGTACAGAGGTCACGAGGAGCAGAGCAGGTCATCGAAAGGGGGACCATATACGAGGCAGGCAGCAGACCGACACACACGGGCGAATCCCTCAGTAAACGGCTCCAGAAAACCGTTGGTCTCGCGATCTCGCCTGCGGTTGGCTTCGCTATTGTGTTACTTTTGACAGCGTTCGTACCATGCATTTGTTGTCTGCGAAGGAAGTGAGTTGGTCACCCGAGGGTGCTCTCGAGTGAGGTGCTGGTGTGTGTTCTGGAGGACCGAGGATCTGGCAGATGCGGCTGAGGGCGGCGTTGGTTGTCTTCATATTCGCTCTGGTGCTCGTCTCCGTCGTCTTCGCTCTGCTGTCTGTCGCCCAGGAAAGCTTTTGTCCGGACAAGTACCAGATGGATGAGCTGAGAGACGAATGCGTCAAGATGACCCGCATCCCACCTCAGGTTGGTGGGGGTCGGGCCTGCGAAGGCAAGGAGCCGAATGAAGGGTAGATCTGCCGGTTTGTGTGTTGCCATCCCTCACACACGTGTCAGGTGACATGTCCCGAGGGCTCTCGTGCCGAGCGAAACGCCGAATCGGATGACGAGGAGATAGCATGTGTGGAGCGACGGTGGGCCGCTGCGGAGCTCAGCTGCGAACAGGGGTATAACCTGGAGCGGGGCAGGTGCGTCATGAAGTTCGAAAGCCCCCCCTCACTCGGATGTCCGGACGGATGGGACGACGGTGACGGTGACTGTGTGATAGTGTACACTGCCAAGCCGAAGAACCACTGCTCTGCAGTAAGACCTGCCCCTATTATGTGGTTTGAATATCGATCACATGTCCCACATGTCCCTTGTCTGTGTGCAGGGCTTGCACCTGGATGCCTCTGGGCTCGTCTGCGTCAAGTCTGTGGCCCGTGTTCCCATCAAAACCTGCCCCGAGCCGTATGACATGCATCGAGGGATGTGCCTGCTCAAGGCCAAGGCCACACCGGGGGCAGAGCCACCATGCCCGAATGGCTTCAACAAAAGTGCTTTGTCGGGGGACTTCTGCGTGGCTGTCGACTCGCTGCCGCCAGAGCTTGGCTGTGCGGCGGGTGGGGTACTCGACGAAGACGGCGATTGCGTGGCGATGGAGACGATCGAACCCCTATATGTGTGCAATGGTAAGACGATGAGGGAAGAGACGCGACATCCACGTGATGCCTCCCCTTTGTATGTGTGTTCCTCCGTTCTGTGTCGCAGCGACTCTTCTCACTGACGGTGAGTGCTTTGACGTCGAGCTCAGCCGCCGCGAATTGCGCTGTCCTCGTGGCTCAACACTCGTCGAGTCAACGACCACCTGCCTTTTCACCAGCGAAGATTCCGCATCGCCCCCCAGTCCATGCAGCACCACCGACGAAGGGAGCACTTGTGTGGACGATACAGTGGACGTCGAGCCACAATTGGCGTGTCCCGACGGATTTGTGGATCAAGAGTCTGGCGATTTCGAGTGTGTCAGGAGGATATCTCTCTCCCTGGAGCGTCAGTGCCCGCCAGGTAACTATATAAGGGCCTGGTTGTTGCGACACCTACATGCACACACGCTCTTTGTCTGCAAGGCTATGGGGAGTCGCGCGTTGAAGGTCAGGTGTCCTGTGTGTCTCGCAATATGTACCCCGCCACAGTGGGGTGTGACATCCACACGCAGCGCGACCGCCAGCTCAATGGCGAGCACCTGCCAGCCGTCGAGCTGAATGGCGACGGCTGCCAGCGAATGATCATCAAATGCCCTACCGGCCTCGTTCGTGACCCTGAAGACCCTGACAGCTGCATACAGGTAGGAGAAAGGCGACGCGACAGATCCCTCCTGTCTCTTGCCTGCCTATGCACGAACCTTCTCGTGTCTGTGCGTGTTGAAGATTCTCCGCGAGATGCCCATGTTCGAGTGCCCGCCAGGCAGCGAATTCGACCTCGGCGGCGTGGATGAGGACAATGGCATCCCCGAGTGCATGGAGGTTTCGTACGAGGAGCCCGAGTTCAGGTGCCCGCGGGACTTCCACACCTGCGGTGCCAGTGAGGACCGATGCTGCCGACAAAGGAGGCGGCCATACAGACAGGAGTGCTCTGATGGCGACCGGTTGGCGGAGGGTGTATGCGTGAAGGTGGAGAGGATCGAGCCTGAGGTGGCATGTCCACTAGGTGAGGTGACGCTCTCACTCACCAACCGACTCGATTGGTGTGATTGTGTGATTGTGTGTGTGTGTGTGTGTGTGCCTCCCATCAGGTTACGAGTACCAGCGCGGCCAGTGCATTCAGCTGATATTTCGCCAGGGGACGCTCTCGTGTCCGCAGGCACGCACAAACCTGACGAGACACGGGCGGCATGCAATGTCTCTCATCGCTTTTCTTTGCATACGCAGGGGTACGAGAGGACGTCTGGCGAGGAGTGTGTCAGAGAGCATGTGGTCCCCACCTATGTCGTCACGATGGATGTCGAAAGTACACACACGCTGACTCACTCACACACGCATTGCAACAAGCCCACGTGCATGTGTGTGTGTCATGATTGCTGCCTGTCTGTCCTCTTTGTCTGTCGTCAGATGTCATTGACAACGGCTGACTGGGAGTTCACCTTTGCTTGCTTTGCTTTCATTCCCTCTGTCTGTACACTATCGCTTCCGTATTCCGTATTGTTCGTACGTATGTCTGTATGTCTGTATGTCGTATACACACACAATATGTATACACATTTCGTATATATACAGACATGTAAGATTTCATTGCTCGTCGTCGTCTTGTCTGCATGTAAGATTTCATTGATCAAATGGCAGTGCAGCACCCATGGCTACACACGTCCATATGTACGTGAATCCATGCCGCAAGCGCAGCGCGCGCACGATGATAGCAAATGGTGATAAATGCGACAGAGTGCTGCCTCTGTGTTTGTAGCCTACACACTACGCGACAGGACGGCAATGCGCTAACGCGACAGACAGACGTTCTGTACACTTTAGCTAATGGTCGTAGGTATATCGGTAACTGAGACTGATTGACAGAAACGTGTTAAAACGATTGAACATGACCATGCAATGTTCATTGAGAATCCGGCCAGCTCGCATGAAGCACATCAAAACTCGCAAACAGAACCGTCCTTGAATTGCAGCAAGAAAGAGTCAAAGATACAGCCATTTCACCCCTTACTGCCCTCTCCCTCCCACTCAGTTGATGCCCAGCGACATAAACAGGCCATTCCCCGACAGACGCCCCAGCTGGCCCCACTCGAACTGGCAGTCCTGATCGCCCAGATGCTCATTGAAGCCCTTAACCACCCCCGTAACACCACAGCTGGCCGCCTCGTCCAGCCGGGCCCGGTGCACCACCTCACGCACACCCGTCAGCACCACCTGCCCGCCACTGCCACGAACGGCGAAGCACTGCAGCGGCGGCACGGTCACTTTGACGCGCTTGTCGCCCTGCTGCTGGTATCGCGTCCCGCCCACCACCTCCCTGTTGCTGCTCGTCTGTGTGGCCGCCGACTTGACGAAGTGGCCGACGGCCGCACCCACGCGGCGCCTCAGCAGCGACTCGCCGATGAGGTACTGGTCGATGGCGGCCACAGCAGCGGGGGGCTCGTGCAGGAAGGCGCCGATCTTCCATGCGATGGCCTCAGCCTCGTGTGGGCCGAATGCCATGTTGGATGGGGAGGGGTGGGGGTGGGCGCCGTCGTGGTGGGGGGCGAGGGGCAGCAGACGGGCGAGAAGCATCGAGTGGTCGCGCTGGGGGGCGAGGGCGCCGTTGATGGCCGACATGACGACCTCGGACAGCTCAGTCAGCACGGTGGCATACTCGGTCACGTACTCGGTCACCACCAACTGGCGATAACGGCGCTGCCTCTCGGTGGCGGTGGGCATGCGGGCGATGGACTGGGCCGCCCCGCCCCGCCCCGCAGCACACGGATGACGGTCTTGAACTGGCGGATCCGTCTTGAGTGCCCCTCCCAATCTGCATGTTCCCGCTGCAGATGGATGTCGAGGGGTGTCGCGTGGAGCTCCTCGACAGCGATGGTGAGGGGTGTGAGGTTGGGCTGATTCGGCCTGCCTCTGTTGATGTCGTCGGCTGTGAGCTGGCGGCACAGCCAATGAGCCACACAGTCGGAACCAGCTCTTGCCGCCTCGTGCAGTGGCGTGTGGCCCCTCTTGTATGTTGCCGTCATACGTGCCGTCATGTCGGCTCCGTGGCTGGTGATGAGGGTAAGGTACTGGTCGATGAACAGCTGGGAGAAGATGAGGGGGGCCGTGGCTGCCAAATGGACCAGATTCTCTCCATGAGGGGTCTGTTCGGTTGCGAGTGTGCTGTCGTGTTGGGCAAGTCGGTTGTAGATTGACATGAGAGCATCCTCGTACTCACGAGTGGCGGGAGGGGCATCATCAGGGAGATACGGAAGCTGCATCACCCTAAATCCACGCACGTTGGCCTGTCGCTCCAGGAGGGCCTCCACAGCCGTCAGATTGCCCGCACGAATGGCGACCTCGATGGGCCTGGGCGTGCTAGACCCTCCGCCTCCACCCGCATTGATCTCCGCCCCGCCGTCGATGAGTGCATTGATAATGTCAGACTGCAGCTGACGGGAAGACCACTGCGGCAGGACCACGGGCACATCGGCGTAATGAGCGTCGCGCGCACAGAGGAATGGTGTGTTTGTTGGGCTGTCGATGGCGAAAGACAGACATCTGTGTGGACAGTACGAGATGACTGTAATCCCGCGGACGCGCAGGCGGCCGATGGCTCTCGGGTCGGCTCCTTGACGTATCAGTTGTGTGACTTGGGCGGTGCGCCGAATGCAGCCCTCCAGCAGCTGCCGACTGAGAGCACTGACGCCCTCATCAGGGACGATGTCGACGTCATCCAGCCCCTTGCAGCCGGGCGGCACAGCAGGAGATCCTGCTTGCGATGCGGCAGACGACGATTGGGCCATCACAATGAGTCACACCACTGCACGCACGTAGGCACAGACACAGACACACCCACAGTCACTTGCATGCCTCTTCCTTGCAACGCTGCTGGCGCACCTGGTTGGTCAGTCATACTCGACGGCCGCCACAACCCAAACACCAACTGAGAACACAGAGAGATGCCAACCCAACACAGTGATGCTCCCATCACGGGTCGTTCATTGGCTCATTGGCTCATTCGTCCTCATACGGACCATCACGTGAATCATCCTGGTGGGAATCAGACTCCCCGGGAGGTCACGAATGCTCGATGTTCTCGTTTGTTTTGTTCCTCACTGTGCTTGTGGAAGCGAAATGCTCTCACCGCCGCTTTTGCTTGGCTTCTGCCTCCGATCCAAGCTCGCATAAGCGCTGAGGGCAAAGGGAAGGGAAACGAACGGATGGAGGCCGCAGCAGACCTCTTGTGAGTGAAACGGCTGGGCATTAGTGAGATCTGTGCGAGTTGGCGATGGCGAGTGGGCAGAAGGGTCAAGATCCTGCGGTCGTCCAGCGTCTGCAGGAGTTGGAGAAGGAGCGCCACGACATCATCATGAAGATGCAGGAGCTGGAGCAGCAGAGGAGCGAACACAGGTCAGAAGAACACAGAAATACCTGCGGCGATGACACGCAAACCGACGGGCTGTTCTCTGGTGAGTGGATGAATGAATGGCTGTGCAGGTTGGTGATTCAAGCGTTCGAGAATGTAGAGCCGACGCGCCGATGCTTCAGAATGATTGGCGGGGTGCTCGTGGAGCGCACTGTGGCCGAGATACGGCCGCAGATTGAAGACAGCATCAACCAGGTCAGCCACCCAGCCAGCGAGGTGCCATTGATGGGAATCCGAGCGATTGGCCGTCATGTTTTCAGATCGGCAACGCCATCCACACGTTGGAGAAGCAGCAGGAGAAGGCGAGCGGGGAGCTCCTCAAAGTCAAGCAACAGTAAGGAACCAGACAAGCAGCTGATTCATGCACTGCACAAAGGACTTCACTTGCCTGTCTGTGTGTGTATGTTGCAGGCTTGGTATAGCGCAGGAGGTCAGGGCAGCCCCTGCCAGCTCAGAGGGCAAGGCGGCCACCGCTGCCGCCGATGCATCGGGATGATCGTGACCTCGTTCCACATTGTCTGTACAGAGAGACTTTTGATCATGCATATGTATGTGTCCGGTACCGGTGGAGACCGTTTATGTATTGATTGTGTACCATTGAATGCGATCGACCCAACCGCCAACGTGTCGAAACGAAACGAAACGAAGCAAAGCAAAGCAGCCCTCTCTGTCACTCGTCGCCCACCTGTCCGTCGCTATGAGAGGTCTGTGCATCGTCATTCTCGCGGCCATCCTCACTGTCACGTCGGGTTGGTTTTTTGCCACTACGACACACAACACAAATCACACATATTTGTGTGTTGCTTGCTGCGTGCAGGCCGTCATGCTCGTCGGCCAACGGTTGGCGGCCTCTCGGATGGTCTGCGGCCAGCTGCTTCCGGCCAGACAGACAAACAGACAAAACGTGCCGTCAGTCCCGGCGGCTTCCCCCTTCCCGGCAGCGAATACATGAAGTGAGTGAGGCACTAGCAAGTTGAGCAAGGAACCACGATGATCGTGTCTGTCATGCTACTTGTTGCATCTGCGTCCAGGTTGCTTGCCTCGGAGATCAATCTGCCTGGTCAGAATGGCGGACCTATCAAGAGCTGGTCAATCACTCAGCCCAACGAGCCAATCAACTTGGAGGTGACACGAAAACGCATCACTCAAATGAGTATTGACTGTCTCTGTGTGCGTCGGTCGTCAAGAGGTTGGAGAGGGAGTATGAGCCGCCAGACGAAGAATGAGTGCCCATCAGTATTGACACAGAACCGATTCATGGATGGAGTCAGAACAGAGTTGAATCGACAGAAGAACAACAAGCGACATGACCACTGGACGGATTGACACATTCATGAATGAGTGAATGAGCTCTCTCTCTTTCTCTCTTCACTGATCACTGCTCGTCCCGACTGACCCATCAATGTCATCGCGAAACAAGTCTGACACATCCTTTTTTGCCCTCACACCACCCTTATCTTCGTTCGCCTCGTCGGCAAATCGGCCAGTCGGCGATGGCATGTCGATAGGCGCAAGCGCATCGGCTGCTTGCACAACAGCAATTGGCTGTCTCATCGGCACAACGGTATCACTGACGCCGAGATCGATGGCTCTGTCGCCGAACAGGCCAACATTCATGTGTAGGCTGTGCTGTTGTTGCTGCTGCCTGCTGAGGTAAGCGTCGAATGGGGAGGAGAGTAGTTGCCAGAAGGGCAGTCTGGGTGGCGGGGGTGTCGGGGTGCTGCGGAATGATGGCGCCCAAAAATCGGACGGATTCCTCCCATCTGACACGCAACCAACAAGCACCACAAATCGACCCGTGAACGCAATTTCTTCCCTACCGTATACAGGCTCCACGGCCTCTCTTTGTCGAGGCTGTCTCGGAGGAACAATAGGCGGCAGCTGACCATTCCTCTGCATCGGCCGTCGAGGCGCATCAGCTTGCGGAGACACGCCGTCGCCTTCGTGTGGAGGTGGGAGGACAGACTGCATGTCTGGCTGTGGCCCGCGGAACGAGAGAGGCACGTCCCCGTCTCTTGCTGGCGAGTGCGGCCGGTGAAACGGGGTTGACATGGCAGTGACCTTGTCGTTGGCGGGCGGTGTTTGGAGAGGGGCAAACCACGCTGATGCGGCCTCCTTGGCCTTCTCCGCCGCCTCGACAGCCACAAGCGCATTCTTGGTCTTCTCCTTCTCTTGCTCAAGCCGCTGCTCATGCTGCTGCAGAAGGCTTAGAAGCTTCTCCTCACGATCAGCACACGCCCTCAACTTGGTGTCCTGCGTGAACAAAAAAGACGAAAGGCATGATGAGAATCTTGTCGCATGGCTCAGCAAGATGCCCTCACCATGACAAGTTTCTCCCTGTTGCACCGGCCTGCCTCTGCCTCAGCGTCTTTCCACTTCCGCTGCCACTCCTCTGCGGCCGCCTCGGACCCCTGCAGCCGATGCTCGCGGCTCTGCAGCCTTTCGGCCAGGTAGCCGAAAGCTGAGTCCTTGTCGAGGCCGGAGAGACCATTTTGAGTGAGACGGTGGATGTGAGCAGTCTGCTCGCCGACGTGGCGCTCCAACAGGCCCACCTCCTCCTGAAAAGACGATGACGAGGCCGCCTTGCGCATGTGGATGGCAATTGATAATTCCCCTCTCCCGACACGCACCTGGAGCTCCCAAAGGGCTCGTTGGTACTGCTCGACCCTCTGGACACCGCCGGTCCTCTCATATTCGTTCAGCCGGTTCCGCAGCTGGCGGCTTTCCTCGTACATTTTCTCAGCCAGCTTCCGCCGCTGTTCTTCTCGCGAGGAGTTTCTCTGCAGCTCATCGACCTTCGCGCGGCCGTCTTCAGCTGCTTTCTGTCTTTGTTGCAAGAAGGAAATGAGGGAAAGTGCTAAGCAGTGCCTATTGTCGTCTTCGTACCTCGAGCGTTCGTCTCTCATCCGTCACTCGCTTGATTTCGTCTGAGAGCTTCTCCAAGGCCCCCTCACTGCCTGGCAGAGGGCCCGACTTGGCCGCATCCACAAGCTGCTGCTGCAGGATCTGCAGCTGCTCGTGGGCTGCCTGCAGCGTCGAGTCGTGATGCACCTGAAACACACACGACAAAGTTGCAGCACACGACGTGCCAGTCTCGTCTCTGCTGCAAGCGTCTCACTCTCATGTCCTCCTTGGCTTTGGCCAGGTGAGCAATTTCTTCACGGAGTCGATTCCGCTCGTCTTCCAGCAGCGTCCATTCTCTGGACACCGTGTCCTCACGGCGCTTCTGTTCATCGTACTGGCGCTTCTTGCTGTGAAGGTCAGCTACGAGACGCTAAAAGACGACAAACAAAGGGAGACACGACATGTGATGCGTTCGACAGCCGCCTGCATGCAAACGTACCTTCATGTCCTTCAGGCTGTCTCGGCCATTCTGTCCGTCAGATGGCACAACAGCAGCAGCGTCGCCTCCTTCCTTCGGACTTTCGTCAGTTGCCTTCTCGTCCGATGGAGGAAGCGGCCTCCTGCTACTGTCAATGAGCTCTTCATATGAAAGCAGCTGCGATCGAAGCTCACGAATCTGCGTGTGGAGAGCCTCGAAGCGTCGAGAGGTTGCGCTGTCGCCCGTGTCCTTTGTTCCCGAGTCGTCGTCCGGTCGCCTATCGACAAGGAAAGAGTCGATGCGTTGTCTCAGTCCTCGGTTGGTCTCCTTCTCCCTCTCCAGCTGCCCCTGCACATTGGCTGCCACGGCCTCCAGAGCACGGAACCTCGCCTCCCACAGCTTTGCCTCACTGTCTTCGGGTTCCTCTCGCTCCGTCTTCTGTTGATCCTGGTCATCGCCAGGCTCGTGAATGGTCGGGGGCACACCGAGGGGCAGCTCTGCGGGTGCTTTGACCATGACCTTCGGGCTCTGCAGAGCCAGCCGCGTCAGCTTTGTGGAGAAGTCTTTGAGTCCATCCAGCCATTTGTGCCACTCCTTCATGCCGGGTGGCTCCCGGCCGTCCTCTGCTGGCTGGAAGGGTGGCCCAGCAAGGATGTCGCCCAGGGCGCCCATGAGCTCGGACTTGGTGCCGAATTTCGCCAGGATACCCTCCTTGACATTCGGTCGCTGATCATCGTTGGGAAAGGTGGAGGCGATCTGGGCGAGTGTGTCGCGGCACTCCCAGAGAGTGAGGCCGCTCTTCCTCAGCAGCTGCTCCAACATCAATCTCCGCACTTTGTCTGAGATGGCGTCTGCTTGCGGAGCCTCGTCTGCTTTCTTCTGGCCTTCGTTGTGCCGCTGCCTGCGTTTGCTGAAATCAGCCACGCTGACAGCAGGAGGAAGGGGCGATCGAGGGGAGGGAGGCTGGGAGTTGGCCTGGACGTACCGACAATGCAGACATGGCAGCAAAAGACATACAACGTACCTCTCCACTTGGATGGGCATCCTCCGGCAGCGCCTCAACACGGGGAGACCTGTCGGTGGACAAAAAGCCGCATCAAGTATGATAGATTAGTAATATTGTCTTGTCGCCATATCGCTGACCTTTTCCTCTTTGGTGGCACCGACGTGCTTCGATGCTGGACGGGGTCTCGGGGGTAGAGTGCCGGTGAGGTGTAGCGGGAAGCGCCTGGCGAGACCTTCCTGCGTGACGGGGGCGATCCCGACCTTGAGCGGGGCGGAGTGGGCATGATGTCTCGCGCGATCTGTCGGCCCGAACGATCACGGCTGGAGGGCAAACCAGCCTAAAAGGGAGGCAGCGAGCGAGTGAGGTGGAGCGTCGGCCGCTTGTGTCCACGTATTCATCTTACCGCTGGCAGGTGGAGTGCTGTCGCCAGAAGAGGGTTTTTGGCTGGCGGGAGGGACTGCATGCACCGGGCGAAAGGGGACAGGAGACAGCCATGTCCCACTCATGAGTGTCAAGCAGCGCAGGCATGCATGTTTGTACCTCCTGCATCGGAGATATGTCCCTCCCTGTACCGATATGGACAGACACCAACCAGCACAAATAACAGGACAGAAGTCTGGTAGACAAACAAAGCCGCCACTCGCTTCTCACCTGGAACCTCGAACCGATAAGAAACCTTCTCTGCACAAGCAGAAATGGTCACAAGTGGACGGGCGGAAGCAAAGGCTCTCGCACAGTTGTGCCTCACGAACCATAAGCCGAGAAGAAGATCACGTCAGCATGCTCCAGGGGATACGCCTGCTGCGCCGGAAGCCTCACGTTGTTGACGAACGTCCCATTGCAGGAGCCAAGGTCCGTCAGCGTGGCCTTCTCACCTCCCAACTTGCCGAACTCCAGCACAGCATGGAAGCGCGACACTCCTCTCGAAGTCAGTACAATATCGCATGATTCATCGCGGCCGATGGTTGTCTTCGTTTCCTCCAGCTCGTAGAGCGTGGTGCTCGTCCGAAGAAAGCCGAGAACAGGCATCGTGAGAACACGTTGCTGATGAGACGCCGGGCCCCAGTCTCGATGGGGCGGGCAGTTTCCTTTGCAAATGATTGTTGTGGCACCTCGAGATATGCAGAATAAGCCCAGAAAGTGCACAATTCGGCGTCTTCCTTTCTCTTCGCCGGATGGAAAGCTCGCAGCGAAGCTCGCAATCGCGGAAGCAGCGAAAACGAAAGCACAGCCTCAAGCTTGTGTGGAAGCCAGCGCGAAGTACCACTGAAGAGTTGCGTGACTCAGCGCTGCTGAGTGAACATCCAATTGTGAGCGTCATGGATCCGGAGCTTGATGCTGAGCAGCTGGACATTGTGGACATCTTCAACAAGACCTTGATGGAGTTCATGAGCAGCCGGAGGACGTTCTGGAAGGAGGCGAGGGACTTCCTCGACGCCATCAACTGGACGGAGCCGCTCGTCGTCTCACTCATCGTCTTTCACTCCGTGGTGCTGCTCTTGGTCCTCCTCTCACACCGGAGGTTCACCCTGCAGGCCGTTATCTTCTTCACAATAGGTACACATACAGGCCAGAGGAGAGAGGCATGATGTTTGGAAGCCAATGTGTGTTGTCTTGCCCGTGTGCGTGTGCTGGTTGGTTCAGCGGTGTTATGTGGGAGCAGTCAGTGGCTCAACTCGTTCCTGTCTGAGCACTGGGAGACGGTCGCTACGCAGAACTACTTCGACGCCAATGGTGCCTTCATCTCGATTGTCTTCTCCCTCCCCCTCGTCCTCATCGGCTTCCTCCTCGTGGTGAGCCCTCACCGCCACACGCACGCACCAAGCAATACCAACCGCTCAGATTATCTGCCTGTCCTGTCTTGATCCATTCAGGTGATGATGGTGTATTCCGCCGGTGTGCTGCTTGTGGAGGTCAAGAAGCAGGAGCTGCGGCGCGGAGGGCGTGTGCCGCGGCTGCGAGTGGTCAACCCTCCATCCAACGCCAGCACGCGACCCACGCCCTCTCAGACGATATCGGAGAGCGGAGGACCAGAGGACAAGGGGGGCGGGCCCGCCGACACCAAGAAGCACCAGTAGATGGATGGATGGATGGGTGGATCGGTCAAGTCGAGGTCGCGGGTTGGTGTGTGTATGTAGCTGACAGAACTCAGTGAGAGAGTGTGCTCTGTATATATCGCTGCCTTTTTCGTGCGGTCGATGTCAGTGTGCCTGCGCATGTGTGCCGTGATGGATGGAGGCCAGGTCATGTGTGTGGCCGTCCTTGTGTGTGTGAACGGCAACTGGTGTCATCGGCGTATGTGGCAGAGGTCTGACAAGAGCGTTGCCCGCTTAGAGGCGCAACAATCTTTGTGTGGCGACCGCTGCAGACGCCGGCAACACCAGTTGCTCTTCACGCCGGAACAATCAAGAGAACGAGCATACAATCAGATTACGTGTGATTACCAGCCGATCATCTGCAAGCTGTCAGCGGTCTGCCGCACTTAGTCCAGTTAGTTGTCAGATTTCAGTCACCATCACAACAACCATCAGTCAGCAAACACCCCACCCTTCATTCGACTAGGATGACGCCTTCTTCTCCCGTGCCGCGGCCTCCCCCTTTTGTGCTTCATCTGTCGTCGACGGAAAACCCACCGGGTAGGGCGGTGGCCATGGTCCCTCCCACAGAGGCCGTGTGCTGCCGCACATGGTGCGATCGAACTGTCGTTCAGACTGAGACCCGTCAGCCATCCACGGCTGAGGAGCCAATTCTCGCACATAAGGGCCGTATTGAGCAGGCGGGCGAGGGAGCGACAGGGGCGGCACGTTGCTGCTGAAGCTGGGATTGACACTGGCAGCGGCAGCAGCTATGGGAGGCGATGCCGGCTTGCTGTCTCGTGGAAGGGTCTCACTTGGAGGCGGGGGTGCTGTATCGATTGGACGGGCTTCTTCTGCTTCTGGCTCCTGCTTGTCATCCGTTGTCTTGCCGTCCGTGAGATCGACTGCATCCTCTTTGTTGTCGAAAGCCTGCTGCTGCTCGTCGCTCTTCTTCTTCCTGACGCTCGCTCTGTCGTCCCTCGGCCTCGCACTCATGAAGCCAGGAAGACCACAGAATGCCTTGTGATGAATCACTGACGGAAACAGCAGACAGACAGACGTAGAGAGAGACATCCAGATAAGATTGAGAACGATATAGGTCTTCACCGGATTCACTTGACGATTCCGATTCGGTCCTTTGCAGCACCTCCCCATCGCTCCCTTCCTTGGCCGCGTGTGTGGGGCTCCTGGCGTGACTCGGCGACCGGGGCATCAGACGCATGAAAGGAGACAGGCGCGTTGGGCTGGCAGGGGAGGAGGGAGACGACCCGTCAGATGACGCATCGGCCTGTAGAGGCGCAGCCTTTGGCTCTGGTGCCATGGGAAAGCCATGAGGCGGAAAGGGAGGCATCGGCATCTTCGGCTGCTGGTAGAAAGACTGGAACGCACACAAAATCACGCATGGACGGCTTGTCTCTCCAGGCCGTGTCATGATTGGCTCCGTCGCCTCACCGGAGGCCCCATTTGAAAACGCATGACAGCCGCCTCGTGCATGTTCAGCCGGTGCTGGACTGCCAGGTATCTCTGTTCCAGCTGCACACAAAATGCATACACAGGATCAACGAGGGACTGAAGGAGCTTTCACCAATTGGCTTTCACAGACTGACCTCTTGGTATTTCTTCTGTAAGACTTCATAATCATCAGCCATAGTCGAGACGCTTCCAGCGAAGGTTCCGTCAGACCGACCAAGGCCGTCTGACGCCTTGTCATCTCCCATTGTGTCGGTGAGGGATCGAGGGACCGCACCAGCCGTCACTTTGTCGACAATAGCGGCAGGGACCGGCACTGTCGCTCGTGTCGGTGGCTGCACGGGGTGGGCCATTGTCTGTCTCGCCGCGTGGAGGCGCCTGACTTCATCAACCTCTTGCTGCAGCGCCGCATTGTCGGCCTCGAGCTTTCGTATCCGATCATTCTTTGTCCTGCACACACAGCAGAGGGCACGACACAAAACGGCCGTCTCTTCGCGCATGCGCAGTGTGAACGAAGGAGAAACGCGGAAATGCTTACAGAATGGCGACCTCATACTCCATATACCGCCTGCAGAGGTTGTGATAGATGACGTCCACCTCCTTCTGACCGACACACAAGACATACACACAGAGGACAACACACGTCGCAATGGCGCACCTGGTGCCAAACTTGGGTCTCCAGCTCCTGAATACGCTCCTCCTTCTCTCTAAGCCCCTCTCGCAAGGCCTCCTCCATTTTTCGGAGGACTTCTAGAGTCGGCAATGTATAGTATTAGACCATCGAAGACTGATGTTATTTCTCGGCTGTTTCTCCTCCTTTTCGGATGAGCGAGCGTGTATCGGACTACACCCAACCCCCTCCACCTACC